GTGATAAGTGACAGAAAACCACAGGTATTTTTCTCGATCATCACCGGATGCCGTGTTGGCTGTATCGGTGGATTACTCATTTCAGCGTAGGAGGATCCGACTCTCAACTTTTTTAACTTTCCATCGCATAAACTGTTCACGAATTCGACTTGGAGACAAGTTAGCTGTTGTGCGGGTGAGAGGAACATAATATGTACAACGGTCATGTCCTACCATAGTAATTTGAGTATGTAGATGTATGTCGTAGTGCGTTGGCAGTCAATTGTGCACGTCATTTCTTTGGTGCTTTGTGAAGAGATAATGGTAAACCCCTTTCAAAGCCATACGATAGAGGAGGATATAGTAAGACAATAGAACTAACCGTTAACAACATCATGGTATGTAACATAAATCGTCAACTTGCATGCTTAGTGGGTCTTAAATGAAACTCGGCACACTTCGAGTGAATCTCGACGAACCTTATGGTTTTACGCTAATGAAGCATCAGTGCCAACACTAATGTTACTGTCTTTGATGATGATGATTCCTTGGATAACTTTCTCTAGAACGCTTAGTATGGATATTTCCATTCTTTTGTCTTTCGGTTCCATTGGGCTCAATTAGGTTGAACAGTGTGGTATTTCAGAACTTGGTCTGTTTGCGTAGCCTTTCTGTTAACCTCCGTTCACATTTGTTTGTTTGGCAGTCTCGTTGTGTGGAATTGATGTAAAAATGTACAGAATGACTGGAATTATGAAAAATTGGAAAAAAATCAATGAATACGGGTTTTTAGTGGGCTGATGTTGTCGAGTGAGCAGCATCGGCACATTAGGATCCTCCAAACCATCGTACAGTAGTTTCGTGAGCAGATGGAGTATACTGCAAACGGATAGTTGGGTAGTGACTCACTCAGCATAGGTTCGCTCGATTTCTGTTTCATGGCAAATAAACCAACCCACTAAATCGCAGCCTGCAAAGAACTGTTGACTGCAATTTTCTTTATTTTGTGTACTTTGCATATGTAGTTTATTTGGTTTAGCCGATAGGGTCAACTCACTCTGAAGTCGAAAAACTCTGGTATGTCCTTTTCTTGGAGTAATCGTACAAAACACCAGCCAGATTGCCGGCACTTTCGAAGGCCTTTGAACCTGATGTTATCATCGTATGCGTCAACTTTCTGTTTTGCTGCTCCATATTTGTTAACGATAGTGTAACAACGAATAATCTTCTACCGTATGTTTTATTGCCCGGTTAGTAGCCCAAATTAAGATCACAGCTCTCCTGGATTTTTCCGGCGATATATGTCACTATAATTAGTGACTGTTAATGCTTCGAGTGTGTTGGGTTTCGGCCTTTCACTACATTCATTCAGTCTTCATTCTCAAAGAACGGAATTGTATATACTCCCCCTGTACTGTTGATTTTGTCAAGTAGATGATATACGCCTGGATGAAACAAGCAGTATGGAACAAGCTGCCGTATTCCGTGACCTGGATACCTTCCTCGATGCGCAGCTCATGAACATAAACTTCTTGGGTGTGCCCGACGGTCGACTTGTAAGTGGTTTTGACATTCTTTGCACTGTACTCTGTGAAAACACCCCTATATATGATTGAAAATCTCATCACTGTGGTTGATGACATTTGGTCTGCTCACTCCTGTGTTCGTTTAGCTTGCCTTACACCCTTACTTTAAGTGATGCGTTAACTTTCTGTTGATATCTTACCGTGACATTCTTGGTTGCAAATCCGCTAGGTGTACGCTTCACGCGAACTTCCCGTAACATGCCTCCCTCAACGGAGGTCCAGCCTGGTGGCACACGTCTTCAGTATGCCCATCATTCGATACTACGTCGATGTGTGCTGTTTTTGTCAACATACGCCATACGCTTGTCTTTCATCGACGACCTCAAATACCTGCTTAACTGCAGTAGAGCTAGTAAACATCTGAAAGACTGGATAGATAACAGAACAGCCTCCAGATGTAATGCAATCCGGGTTAGCTTGTTTGGTTTCACGTTACAGAGAATGGTTACTTAAATAATGGAATTTTTTCCGAATTTTTCATTCATCAGTCAAATAATTGGTTCTCATATTTAGCGAGACACGATACTTGTACCCAGTCTGCCATTAAGTAGCCGCTGACATCATTTATGTGGAATGGGAATCTTGTTTTACTGAGCTATAAATTTTGTTATTGACTGGTACAAAAACACTAGGTCATACAGCTGACGACCTGGTGTCTTGTGAATTGAGCTGACCCCTGGGCAGACACGTTACAGGTGCCGAATGAGGAATACGTTTTCAAAGCACACTGAAGCGTAGACCGGAGTACACTAAACTCCTACGGTCGATCAGCCACGCTGCAGAAACCGGAAAATTATCCCATTTTTCGGTGCATTGTTCTTGTCACTGGGTTGTTGAGAATCCATAGGCGGTGTTGTGCCCCTCCCCCATATTCATTTAATTCCGGATGTGGATGTTTATGGATTAGTTCACGAATGCTCCGCTTAGTTAAGTGATCTCAGATGTGGACAGAAGCATTATGCGCAAGATCATCCATGAACCCCGGATTCTTCATTGGCACTTAGCGGAAGAAATCCTAGCTGGTTTACTTCAATTATTTCACGCGATCAACAAGAATCTGTCTCCGAAGCGTTATCTACACCAATACCGCATTGAGGAGAGAGCTGATCGTTAAGTCTTGTGTAGACTCTTTGATGACACGGTTTTTTTCCATTTTCTGACGAGAATCTTTCCGGAGTACACTAAACTCCTACGGTCGATCAGCCACGCTGCAGAAACCGGAAAATTATCCCATTTTTCGGTGCATTGTTCTTGTCACTGGGTTGTTGAGAATCCATAGGCGGTGTTGTGCCCCTCCCCCATATTCATTTAATTCCGGATGTGGATGTTTATGGATTAGTTCACGAATGCTCCGCTTAGTTAAGTGATCTCAGATGTGGACAGAAGCATTATGCGCAAGATCATCCATGAACCCCGGATTCTTCATTGGCACTTAGCGGAAGAAATCCTAGCTGGTTTACTTCAATTATTTCACGCGATCAACAAGAATCTGTCTCCGAAGCGTTATCTACACCAATACCGCATTGAGGAGAGAGCTGATCGTTAAGTCTTGTGTAGACTCTTTGATGACACGGTTTTTTTCCATTTTCTGACTGAGAATCTTTTGTCCCAATTGCTTAGCAGCGTGTGACTCAGTTTGATCTGTCTTATCTGTTCCTAATGCGATGTAACTAGTTTTTTTTGCTTATCATTCTTTCAGTTGAGCTTAATTTGAATTTATTCTCTTCTTCACACTGACAGGCTTCAGCTAGCGTAAGTCATTTATCTCACCCGTTATTTAATTGTGGGCCTTTGTGTTTTAATGCGATAACATCAGTTTCCGTCTCGAATTATATTATTACTTTATTGCGGCCGAGTCCTATTAGAGTATCGGCTGGCTCCAAGACTAGCCCTAATCTGACCACCAATGTTTGACTTTCTGCTCCAAGAACTGCACAAGTGGCAGCCGGACCTTGTTTCCGGCACTGATATCGTGAACGGACTGGAGGCAAGGTGACACAAATCCGATTCGATGGTCTTAAGTTGCCTGCCTTGACAATAACCTTAATTCCAACATGAGCCTTTTTCAGTAGCTCATAATCCAAGTTGTGGAGTTCGAATCACTGCATTCATCACTGCTGGATATGTGCAGCTAGTTTTGGGGTGCCGGGACGGCGCTTTCAAACTGTTTCGCTCGAGGCCAGTCGATTATTTTGGGTGTGATCCTCAGTCACTACTGATTGGATAACTCTAGCTTTTGCCTATTTCCCGTAATGACCAGAACCTGCGCTTGTAAAGTGCTTCAGAACTTTGTTCCTAAGACTACTTTCCAATCCTCGCTGTTGAATATTCTTGAATACTAGAAATGCCACTTCGGCATTATAGCTGAGTATCACTAGCCCATCCTTCGCTTTTCCGTTCTGTAGGATGCGGGAACTGAGGTTTTTAAACATGTGAGCTATTTCAATATCTTAGAACAAGTATTGACTGAGCACTTGGAGAGCGTTCTCGCTGTAGTGGTGCTGATTATAAGATCCATTTTAAGGCGTGTTACCTAAGCTGTTGTTGTTACCTACCGACTCAAGACTATCCTGGTTGTCACCTGGCAAACTAACGCCCCCGGCGTATTCCCGGTCGGATATCTATGTATCCGCAGTGCACTCCTCCGTAAACTCTGAGACGCTATTCGTTATTCAGTGAAATGTGACTGGGATGACACTCCTGTCGTACCCTGGTGCAGCCCTTCAAGTTACAAGGCTTTTTACCATGTATTCAAACTAGGGCCTTTATCCCCTCCGCACTAACCAACAGCTCACATCATTTCTTTCATACCCTCCCACGCAGGCTTCTGCAAGCGTAAGTTCCAGTATTCTAGTGTTTTCAACAATTTACCTGACCCCCTTCCTCTTTCATCTCTTTTCGGTTGTTTTCAAAGCTTAAGTGACCATACAAATGTAGTCCTTCTGTCGTTAGTTTCTGTTACTGATAGTAGCTCTTACTTCCCCTTATTCACTGTCCAGATCCATCATTATAGCGTACACCTCCCTTCATCGGCTGGTTTCTTACACCGACCTTTAGGCAACTGAAGCTCCATTGCATCATATCTATTCGGTTTTTAATTGGTCTTCTGTACGGTCGGCTGCTATCGATTGTAATATTTGCACACAAGAAAACTATTCAGGTATTTCAAACTCAACGTTTCCCTCAATGCCATGTGTACCTCAAGGTACTATTCCTGTTTTGAGTAATTTAGCCATGTCCCCCATTTAATGACCCAACGCACAAGCCAGATCATTTTCTAGTAGATTATTCTCATACAATGTTGTGGATACCGGTGCCACATGGACCCTCACGCATTGCGTCGGCCTTGACAATCCTAACTAGTGATCTACAACGTAGAACAGTTGAGTGGATTTCCTCAATCATTAGGTTGAAGAGCTTAACAAACTTCTTTTCGGGATTAGTTCTTGGCACTATGGAATCATCTGAGCATCTGAGTGATGTCAAATTGCATGTCATCTATATCTATCTGTGGAACGTATGGCCGAACTAGTGGTTACCATAACCGTCCCCCTTCATTGCTCGCTTTTGTTTATTTTCAGGAGGATGAACCTAGGCGCCCGTGGGGTGTTCGCGGTCAGTCAATCACATGTCATCAAGAGTTTAGTGATGATGGGGTAGAACAAGTTGCCGATATGTTCCCAACAGTTAGAGCTCCGCTCTCAAAGTCGTTCACGCAACACTCCGATGAACCTCTACCTTGGACTAACAAGCGCCGGAGCTTTCCAGCTTCTTATAGCACTGAAGTACACGTAGCACCGGGGTCTGATGAGCCTGACTGGGTTCCACACGCTCCATGTTGCACGAGTTCGGGGGAGCCGTGGCAACATGCATTGTCCAGTTCGACAGTTGGTGCTGAGGGGATTCCGACTCAGCATCCACCTTTAAGGAACGCACAGGTTGATGCATATGCCACAGTCCGATGCGTTGCGGAGAATAACAACTTAATATTGCCCAGTTTTCCAAATAATGGAGATCAACCAGGCGTAGAGATAGTCACTAATACGCACTTGGCCACAGTGAAGCGCCTGTCCTTCGATCGCATTGTGGAACCCTCCACTCCGTCATTAATAAGAACTCCAAGCAGAGATGATGATGCTTTTATTCTGGACCGACCCGCAAGTCCAGTGGACAGAATCGATCTGACCCGAATTCGTCAAGTACGATTTGAACGCACAAATAAACGATTGTCACCAACCTTGTCACATCACTCTGTACTTAGCGATCCAATCAAGACTTACCCTTCGTTGACTGTGTTAGATACAAATTCAAGTCAACCAAAAATGCGTAGTTCAGCTTCTTTGCCACAAGTGCTGATTTCTGAACTAAAACAACCTTCAAAGTCAGCTGGATCCGAGATATCGTCCCCGTTCGAACCGATTTGCCATTCTGGAGCTCAGGATATCAGTTCCCCTCTTTCCGTCCACGCTGAGTTGTCATCGTCTCCCAGCCAAACATCGTTAACGCAGGACACGCCAATGTCAGGTCGAACAAATCACGAGCTCGAAACTCCACATAGTTCGTTCTCAACTTCAATTTTGTTGGCACCCAACGACTCCACTGCTGAGAATGTCTTGAAACTGGCTTATTCTAGACCGAAGCCTTTGCGTTCGCCGATTAAGCGTCTGTATGCTACTGGACTTCCTAGTCGCATCAGTGCTCCACCGTTGGTGAAAATTCATAAGGCTTTCACCACCAAACGGCATAGTCAAAGTGCCGAAGATCTCCCACATTTGGCCAAACCAAAAGTAAGTTTCTTGGTCCCCGGTGCAGCTGATGAGCAACCACCAGAAGCCTCCCAACTACTTTCTCATTCTCATTCATTAAAAGATCTCCCAGTCACTTTATCTTCCGATGCCGTTATCAAATCACAATTTGCGGAGGATGGTTCGTCCGATTTCAACATCCATGCAGCACTGAACTACTACAATCAACCTCCAGAAATGCAGCAGATAGTATCTAGAGATCAACCAAGTGGGTCCTCTTGTTCGATCGTCTCAATCACCGATAAGGTCATCGTGGTCTCCGATGCTCCACCCGGTCATAGCTGGATTGACTTGGTGAGTACTTTTCGCAATATTGCCTCATACGCGATCGATCAAAATGAGGTGTAATGTTTGGCGGTAGACTGAATCACCGTAGAGAATGAGTTGCTCCTCACCTTCACCTTGTCCGTAAACGTTTTAGCTTAAGATGGGCGATTTTTTTTTCAAAATTTGTGCTAAAATACTGGTAATCACGAAGTTTCTGTTTGCTTTTTTCGGGCATACATTAGTGAGTAGAACCAAACCATTGAAGGGGCGCCACTGTACAAAGCTTGGTAGTGCGTCTCTTCGGGGAAAACTAGTCATTACTGTCTTTGGGAAGTTACCGATTTCGTTGTTTCGCTTAGGTATGTAATAACAACACTGATGGTAGATGGCATGACATCAAGGGACTGCTTGGTTAGCAAATACAGTCAATCCTAAAATACCGGAAACTTTACATTATAGCAGTTCGATCAGGCAATATCTGTTGTTGAAGCCCAATGCATTTGTATTTGTTGCATTCAAATTACTCGCGAACTTCTGCGTTGTGCGGATTTTGAAGGTACCATTAAGGTCCATTTAGTAAACGACTGTATGCTTCAAAAGTTGTTAGCCCAGTTTGCCGTCGCTTTCACTCACATTCCAATCTCCGAGCGTCATGTATTTAGTGTCGCGTAAAATCCGTAAATCCCACACTGTGCACTAGTAGCCCTGTAGCCGTCCTTCAATTTGACTAGTAGCTACTTTACGCGTGTGAAGCTAAAACCTTTCAGATAGTCTCACAATTCGAGATCAGTGTAAACTCAGTCCTATTTAGTCCCGCTAGATAAGGGCGTGTGCTATATTCCAAACTTATCTAAACTTTAAAGCTATAAAAAGGATTAGATCAGCCTTATGTGGTAAAACCGTCCCATTTGGTGACCATTTTGAAAAATCTACATTTATTGAGTTGTACATGCGTGAAAGGCGCGTTTGTAAGAAACAGCGTTGATTTCTTTCTCCACACTGTAACCTGGTTCTTCATTTGTGGAGGCCGGGCACAATAATTCATCATTCTTTCCGGAAAGTCGTTCATCGTTTCCCAGACCTTTACAGCTTTTTCTCCTCTCATCACACGGAGGCAAATCCCTCTAGCTGACCAGCACGTGTCTAGGTGTTAAATAGTATCACTGTGCCGAATACCACCGCTTGACTGCATTCGTACCACTAAAACCGTCCCAGGCAATTTTCGGTACGTGTTCATTTGGTATTGTGAAAGGTTGCAGTACAACACTGAAGAGCAAAGCAGTGGACGGGCAGTATCGTTACCCTTTTGGTAAATAAGGCACTAATATTCTTGGCACTGCCGCTATCCATAACTCGACTGATAGCTGTTAAGGGGTCTCTGCGCCTTTGCTTTGTTAACCTTATTTTCTCGGGAAGAAACATCCGGCTTCGCATGAGCCGTTTATACCACCACGATTTCGCGCAAGCTTCCAGTATTCCAACTACTGTTGTGAGATAACAAAGACCAACTCGTTAATTCATTTCAACGTAACCTGTGACCTGAGGGAACCGCGATAGCTGGAATACTGTAAGTTTTGCAAGGTCCAGACGCGAGTAACCGAAAAATCAGGATTAGATAATTACGTGCATTCCTGTCAGTAACTCGACCCCCAACCACTTAGTTCTATTGAGCTAGCAAACCAACTAACTCCGATCGATTTTTGGAACAATAGGCGAAATTCACCCACGGCTGAAAACCTACGTTGTAGGTTCGGTTGATCCAGGTAAACCGTACTTGGTTTGAATTCTGGCTTACATTTGGCGTTTGACAACTTTTTACTTGTTACGTGATATACACGCTGATCTCAAACAACTTTCCTCTTTTGAAACAAATGATTTTTTAACGACAGAAGAGCTTAAGATTGTTTTGAATAACCCAGCATATATACCACAAAGTCAGGAAATCTAAATCAATCAAGAACTGATGTTACACCCTGCCGTTAACCCCATTTACCTAACAGCGACTGTCTACTGTAGTGGTATGTTTTGCACCAATCTCCGAGTGACGATAGTTGAAATTATTCGTACTGATTGTTAGCCAGTTATGTATCCTCTGTACGGCCAAGGGCATTTTATGCCAACCTTAACTGTTGAAATGCAGTAATCCATGTACCTTGTCATATTTGGCTAGCGATATCTGATTCTAAGTTCCAACATAACATAACTAGTTCCGTTCGACACTGGGGGGTATCATCATTTAGTGTTTGTTGCGAATTCGGTCACCATCCATGCATGTGCCAAACCTTCGAATCTTTCTTTACAGCTTGATGGAGAGAAGGACTGGATAACGATGGCTTCTGGGCCACTTGCGATACCACCAGTCCCCGCTCAAATTGACGTAATCAACAGGTTATCCAGCGTTTGCGGTTGTCTGGCCAGTCGTTGTTACGCGTGCGTTGTGACTGCATCTAATTTGTCCGGATCCACCTGGGAAGATGAACAGAACGAGTTTCGTAAATTCAGTAAGTTTGCCGTGGTTGCAGTACCCAGCGCTCTGCCATTTAGGCGACGGATGTTTGAATTGAAAACACTCGAACGGAGCATTACGCTCTTACTCATTTGGTGACACTAATGCATGCTAGCGAAACCCGTTTTCACTGTTTCTCATCAAGAGAGTGGGGTATGTGTTCAATCAAATCAAATTTCGGATTTTGGGGAGCAGACCACTGCAGTGACCAGTCCACATGGCCGATCAAGTAATTTTGTCTGTGAGGGGCTAATAAAAAAGGACAAACAATAAATCTTATTTTAGGGGAAATGATTTAGCCAATTGTGATATGCCATTTACGTCAAGTAGTTCGCATTGTTCGTTGTACAAAAGCCACACCCTTGACGTATGATGTGGTGAACAGACGATCTTTCGTGTGAAGGCATTACATAAAGCGACCAGCATTTGTACATTTATAGAAGTAGCGGTGCTGCCTTTCCCTCAGAAGGGAGGGTTAAGGAAGGGCAGCGCTAAATGCCGCAGTCTGATTGACCGTGAATGCCAGTGCCTTATTCAGTACGTTCAAGTGGTTTAAAAATAACATCTACCGTGCATAGTATCATTAGGTACCCAAGTCGCTGCGCCCTCAGGCTAGGCAAGCTACGCGCAATCAAGTGGGTCAGACTACTGAGTCATTCACGGGAAGTAGCTGGTCTTGAGACAAACTAACCACTCGGTCAACCTATTCTGGAACCATTGGATGAAGGAGTACCTCTTAACCTTGCAGACGATGTCAAAATGGCTTAAACAAGGAAGGAGCCTGAATGACAGTCAGTGTAGTGGGAGAAGGGAATTGCCGAGAGGGAAGTTCAGTCGACCGATAGGGCATTAGGGGAGTATTCCGTCGAGACGTACGTCAAGTATACTTGCTGAACGCCTCCGGCCAGGATGCTATAAACTTCAAGGAGCGAAGCGACTGAGTGGCTGATCAGTTTGTCTGCTCCACGTGACGTAATGGATGAGGAAGTTTGATTCCTGCTGCGAATCAACGGTTATTTTTCTAGTTTTTTTGACTACTCATGAGTAGAGTGACTCACCTGTTTATTATATCGTCGTTTTCCTTCCTTCCTCCTGGTGAGGTCTGCTTACTCTCGATTTACTAACGTTAAGACTTTGTTGGCTGCCCAATTTCGTCTGCAATTTCGTATCAACTCCACCTATTTCTGAGTGTCTGCTCCGACGGATAAATGGGTCGACCATTGATCGAGCTCTGAGCCGAGCGCGGTATCCGCGGCGCCAACTCGAATTCCCCATAGTCCTGTTTTTTTTAAAAAAATTGCCTTTTATAACACCTACCCGACAGTCTTTGTTGAAAATTTGTTTCCAACGGGCTTCTGATTTGACACCTGACACGAGTTGCTGCATCGGGCCGTCAGCTAATGGCTACAGATACATCCATTTTATGTCAAATTCACCCGTTTTTCAGACAGTTTCCCTTACTTCCCAAACATACTGATTATATTCCGCGTCCTTATCTCTGTATACGGCCTATTCACACTGCCTGACTGCTCGTACCCGGGCGTCTGTCTATATATCTTTTGGTGCCTACGCGCTATTGCTTTCGGAAAGCCCTGCTGTCTCACTGTCCCTTTTTTCTGCTCTTACCGATTGCGTTATTATTGACTGTACGTTCTGCCTAATTCGTGGTGTCTATTAACCCATGTGTTTATAGAACCAGTTCTCGATACGGCATCCACTGCCCTCATCCATCTGTTACTACTACCCACTGAATACGAACTGCGCGTAGCCCGATAGCTGCAGTCGACTTGTAAGGTCCTTAGCTGACCGGATCTTACAGCCCTCTAGTCAAAACCAAATAACTGGATATACTCTACCAACACCGAATAATATGCTAGACAGTAGTGTTTAAAGTTAAGTATATCAGCAAATAACCATTTCTTATTACTTTTCCTCGCCGAAACTCGAAACGCGCATGCAAGGCCCTTCTATAGTAATGCATCTCAACGGGCTCTAAGACAGCTTCTCCACGTTTTACTTTTCGACTGTCGAGTGACCCAGAAACGACACCGTGGTCTCTTTGGTGTGGTTATTGTGCTGAGTACGGTAGATATAAATACCGTACTTGATTGGATTTCTGTAATCAGACTTACCGGATCTGTCCTTGACCAGCAAACTGAAACCTCAAGTCTATTCATTATATTTCCGTCTTCCAACAACCTGTGGTGTCAAGGACACTTTTAACGGAGAACTTTTCAAACATCTCTGAGTGGCAAAGTATGCGGATGTGGATGACTCATACATTCAAGTGGGAGAACCGGTAAGCACGAAAACTATCCCGTCATCATATTTAGCATAGATGCTCCCGGTACCAAGGACAATGACCGGTTCATACAGGCGTGCGCTGGTGACCGCAAGCACAAACAGTGAACGCGCGCTACGAATTTGTGCGAACAATTCTGTTCCTTTCAAACACCAACGACACAGTATCCAACGGCTTTTCGTTTGGAGCTGTTATTCTCCCAATCAGCCTTGGGTAGGAACTGATGTTATTGCAGTAATTTTTCTTGATCATGGCCGCGTGCGAATCTGTCGGTCATTCTGATGTATGTATGCAGATCATGCGCTAGTGTGTGTGTATGTGTGTGTCGAAGATGCACCGAAAATCAAGCATTTCTCTTGTCTAATGCCAATTCGTTTATCGTTCACTTGTGTTCGCACTGGAATACTCCAAGACTATGTTCAGCCTGATGGTCGGGTAAATTCTAGTCTGTCGAACTTCGTAATGGTGTTTGTAGCGGACTTTGATACATACGCTGGTGCTTTACTGGCGTGTAATCATAGAAGCTATTTTTGAGGAAAGAATGATTGCAGCCAAGCATTCCTAGGCCCATGGGGGAAAGACAAACATTATCGGACCTTCTGGAGATAAACTAGAAGCAACGCTATTCACCATGCCTAATCAAGCTTAGATGTCATGCGAACGAAACGAAATGCTGTAATAGCGTACTGTCTCTTAAAAATTGCCTATTGATTCGTCTCGTCCACCACTCGCAAGAAGAAACCACGAGAGAATCGATGCGGGTGTTCGATCGGGCCAATGCGGTCTATAGTGCAGACCTATCTTCGAATCAGGACCTGCTGCTCCACCGGAACTTCACGGTTAAATGTCCCGAAGATATGCTATGCACCTGTTAGAAAAGTACCAAAATACGGGTTTCATCCGTTTCCCTGTTTTGGACATGGCTCTTTTGTTCGGAAAATTCGGAGGGAGATAACCCTGCGAACATATTAAACGGCGTTTATTTTCTGAACAGATATACACATTTTCTTCATATGATTGGCAGCCAGGTTTCAATCGAATTTCAGTATCACTTAATTTATTGATAAAATAGATGACTTGCGCTCTGTGGAAATAGGTCTAGAGAAGATAGGTTAGAAGAAATTAAACTATTGTTAGCCAGCGGATTTCATGTTCCCCGTCATAATGAAGCACTTGTCATTTCTTAATGTTCCTTACAGGAGTACCTTCTGTGCCGTTGGTCTTTGTTCGTAATTCTTCTTCATTCGAATGAAACTGTTGAACTTTTGCTAACCAAACTCACCCTGCTCCCTTCCACTGCACTCATCCATAGTATCTGCGGCAGAACTTATCGTCAACGGATTACGTCCGCCTTATTTTTTCTCGCGATTGAGCCAGGTAAGTACCACAAGCAACGAAGTTGTTTCTTTTCTTGGTTTCTGTTTCAATGACCTGCTTAACCGATTCTCCCTAATGCTGATCTCCTTCACTCAGGACGGCTTGGATGAGCAACTGCAGTCGACACTGGACTCCGTTTCGGTTCGTTTGGCAGACACCTACAATGGCGTACAGTCTACGTTGCATCGAACGTCAAAGGTAAGCCTGATTGACAATATGGTTATGAACCAAACGATACCCTTGGGTTATGGCTCTTGATATTTCGGGCATTAATCGGAATTTGCACGGCCTTTTTTATTGTTTATCAGTGCCGTCGTAATTTCAATCTCATTTGGAATGACTGCGATGTTCATTGTCCTCGCTGGAGTTAATTACGACTTTCTTTGTTGGGAGCACAGCTGTCGCGGTTTTGTAAAGAATATTCACATCATCATTCTGTTTTACCTTGGTCTCATCCGCTGTTTCAGGTCTTGTGCGCTCGAAACCTGCAGACAACGTTGGAAATATTGGCTCAACTGCTAGAAAGAATGGTCGAATTCCTCAAGCTGGCTTGTACAACTACCCAGCAGCTATCTTCCGCCCTAGAAGAATCTGTTCCCTCACAGGACGATTTGCTTGAACGAATAGTCTTCTTCGTATCACGTGTTGTCCCGCATTTGGTCGAATCTCCCATTCTTTACCCTGTTCCTCCGGCAATCAACGCGCACGGATGTGTTGAGGATGACAACTGCATTATCTTGAAACGAATGGTTGAATACTTTGATTGCGTCAATGTGAAAACTGTTGACACTATCGCTAGCGAGCTATTCGGCTCTCTGGTCGCACTTTACCGTAGGCGTTGGAAATATTTCGGAACACGGTTAGTTAGCATACAACCGTCCCCACTAAATAGTTTTTGTGTTTGAATGGTGTCGTACTATTTTTAGCTGAATTCGGCTTTAGGCCACTCTCGATAAGTTCGTCTCGAAACAAAAATTCCAAGTTTAATGTCTATACCTGGCGGCTCGGTGGTTCTGATTATATATGCGTTAGCATCTTGGCTTGACTGGCTGAACTGCTCGAAAGAAGCATCCTGCCCAACCCATGGCAGAAGTGATTGTCAGACATCTGAACCTTGAACAGGAGGTCAGATCCCAACGTCAACCCCTTCCATAAACTGAATGCGTTTTTGCCAGTGATAAGTCTTTCGGAAAACAAGAAAAAGCCACACGACTGAATCAAGTTCTGGTGTCTCCTGCATTGTGATGACTGAAATTTTTTGAAAGAACCTCGTGTAAATTTCGGTGGTAAACAAAACGTAATATTGGCTCATCGTATTCTCAGACGGATTATTGTAAAATGCCTGTGGTTTTATATCTGGATTTTGCTATATA